ACCCCGCCGGTCTGGTTTTCCACCCCGGGGGCTGCCCTAAAGTCCTTTCCCGACGCCACCGGTCTGCGAGTCTATGCCCTGTCTGCAGCGCGCGAGGCTGTCACTCACCGGCGGTGTAGGATCCCCACCTCCGGGCACCCTCCCGCCGCCGTTTATCCTCCGGCATCTGCCCGCAGAATCACGGCTCTCCGCTTCGTACCTCAAAACCAACTGCCCGCAATATTCTGTTTGTAGAGATCCAGATCTTACATGTCAGGCTGGTTTCGTGGGTGCTCAGAGTGGTCGGTAGATATCCAGCTCAATTCCGGGGACCAGTTGAAATAGGGTCCCCTACTCCTCCGCCATCTTGCCCCCCTGATTTATTTTATTTTTTAAAAGATTTATTTATTTGAGAGAGAGAGGGAGAGCATGTGCCCAGGGTAGGGGGGCGGTGGGCGCAGAGAGAGAGAGTCTCCCTGAGATCATGACCTGAGCCAAAATCAAGAGTCAGAACTTAACAGACTGAGCCACACAGGTGCCCCTGCAGTAAATTTTCGTATGCCTGAAATTATCTTTGGTCTATCTCCTAAGGGTACCCAAGGCTTATACACCAAAAAGGCCTCTACCTTCCCAGCCGAAAGCTGAAGAGGTTAAATCGTGGGCAGCCCTGTTGGTGCGGGAGAAGAGCACATTTCCATGTGACAGTTGGTCTTCCTACACTTTTTTGACAGTTTGTCTTCCTACACTTTTAATAGGTTGCCGAGGAACACATAGGATAAATACAAGTGTGAGAGGAAAAAATAGGAATTTAAGAGGAAGTGGGGGGGGACTTTGGTTTTGTTTCTTTTTGAAGAGCTGGAACCACAGATGTTTGATAAGAACAATCTGAGAAAAAAGGAAGTAAAGGGAAGCTGTAGTAGCAGATAAGGATTTACAAGAAATAGTACATTTTTCATCCGTGAGAAGAACTAAAATTAGCAGCTCGAGATATCAAATCTTCCTGTAGTAAGAGGATTTGGAGGGAATTTTCTCACAAGAGGCCACAATTCTAAACAGAGAATAACGATCATGAACTACCTTTGTGAACAGATAAATCACTCTTCCAGAGGAAGATCCACTCCTCAGAGGAAAACTGAGGAATGGGAAATCAATTTTCTAAGTGAGGAGTTACAGAGGCTACATTTATGTCTTATTTCTACGACCTACCAATGGAATGGCAACAAGAGAAAAAACGAACACCAAATTGAATATGCTTCCTCGGAGAGCTTCAGGGTGACTGTATCTTCCTACCAGACCCACTCCTTTCATGTTCCCATGGAAAGATCAGTGATTGAATTTGGAAATGCCTATCAAGGCAATGGATGTAAGTCTTACATGGGTAACAGAGGTTAAAGAAAAGAACACACTCCTATACAATCCTCAACAAATATAAAAGCTGGATCTCCCTAGCCTTTTGAAAACCAAATACTCAGTGTCCTCCTATTGTCTGATGCAGATAAGCAAGTTCTTTCTCATTGGACACATTTGTAAAGAAAACAGAACCAAAAACCCTCTTCTTAAGTTCAATGAAGAAGAAATCTGCTTTTCTGACTTCTAAGTCCTATAAGCCAGTAGCGCACCAGGAAGAGTAAAGATTTCATTCTGTCCACAGCAGAAATCAAACATCTGGGGATGATTCAGGGTAGCAGGGGCACTGGGGGCAGGGGTGGGATGGGGAGCCCCCGACTGAAGTGACCCAGCCTGTTCTTTCCCCATTGCGCTAGCAAGAAGAAATGCACGCCATCACCTGAGGTTCCTATCCCTCAGCCCCAACTTCACTTCTGAGTACAGAACACACATGACTTTTGCTCATCATCTTGCAAGTTTCTCCAAAAGTAATCACCCCTCTCACCTGAACTCTTGATAGGTCTCTGATAAATAATTATTCATAGAAGAGAGATGCTCGTTTTCTCCTTCGAACAGCTTGTTGGAGGCTGCATGCTGAAGAACCTTGGCCACTGATCCCAAGTTTCTCCTTTGGTCGGGATTGATCTGACCTCCAGCAGTCATGTCAATGATATCAAAGCCATCAGGAGCTACGATAGCTGGGTTCATGTACCGGTAGTACAGGAGGTTTCCCACAATCTGGAGGAATGCAGAGGAAAAGACCGTTTTCAAGAGAAACACCTCAAGAGTTTTAGATTTTTAAAAATTGAAGTAAATATTCATTGCCGTTTCCCAAGAAAGATCATTTTCTGACCTGAATCCTAAAAAGGAGTTCTGTAAAGGTAGTGAAAATAGTCACACATTACCAATATAGCTAACCAAATTATTTTTGGTGAAAAACAGCATAATTAGAGCATATTGTCCCCAAATACTCTAATATAAAGATTCTCAATAATGTGTAAGATCTCTAAAGTAATTTCGGCATCATCAATAATCTTGACAGTCATTCAAAACAGAAGACCTGCAGCTTTTTATAAACAGTCATGTGGAGGGAAAAGAAAATCTCACAAAATGTAATGCTGATAATTTTGGCTCACGCCCCCAACAGAAGCTATGGTGAGATGACCCTTGAAAATCTACCTTTAATAGCTCATCTTCTGTGGCATCAGGAAATTTCTCATGGATCGAATTCTTCAGTACTTTGGCTATATACCTCAATCCATAACTACATGTAAAACAGATGACAAAAGAAAATAATGGGAAAAGGCTAAGTGAGAAAGAAACACAAAGCAGTTGTTCTAGTCAACTACAGTGGAGCAGTTTTCTTAAAAATTAAACATAAAATGAGATGGTAACAGAATCACAGGACCTTCACTGATGACAGTCACTGAGCCCTGTTTTTAGTGTTCCCTCTTTGGAGAACAGTTATGAACTTAAAATGCAAACGCAGGCAAACTTATAAAATCATGTTAAAACAGTATGAGGGAGAATGCCTATCTTGACTGCCAGGATTTATTTAACATCGTGCTGCAAGAACTTTGAGGGAAGAACGTTCAAGTAGCTACGTGTACAACTTACGGCAGGAGATCAAGGGAAGAAATGATAGAATTCAGGACTTTGTCGGTGACCCTTCTCAGATTCTCAATGGATGCCTCCAGTTTATTTTTCACTTCTGGGTATGTTAGAGCTTGTTCGGTGGTCACGTCATAAGGCAGCTTGCTGAAAACACAAGGGCTTTCAATTAATTGGGGGCTTAGGGACAAGCATTTGTGTTCTTGCCAAGCTGTTTGGACAATCAAGTTTTGTACAGTGAAGTGGACTTCACCCACTGACCTCAGGCGCAAAATGTTTGCCAACTGAGGGGAGGTCCCATGTGCCTGGACAGTCCCCCTGCCACTAGTGGACGAGGGGGACTCCAGGCTCTCTCTCGGGACTCTTCTGGCAAAATAACAGGAGACTCAAGTGATACAGACCCAGCTAACTTTCTCTCTCTCTCTCTCTCTCTTCTTTTAAGTAGGTTCCCCCAGTATGGAGCCCAACCCTGAGATCAAAATCTGAGCTCAAGACCTGAGCTAAGATCAAGAGTTGGATGCTTACCCAGCCATCTCTCTTTTTTTTTAATTACAAAAAAACAGTATGTTCATTGCAGAAAAAATTGCATATAAACAAACAAGAATATAATACCAACCCAGAGACAACCATCTTTCATATCTTGGTGCATAAATTTCTAAGTCCTACTCTATACATCTGTGTATGTGGGCCTAACACACACATGGGTATAATAGAGTTGATACATATACACATTCCATACAGATCCTACACACACACACACACATACATTTTTATAGAAAATGGTTTATTGTACTCAACTACAACTGAAAACTATACCACATTTTTTCCATGCCAATAAAAATATTTCTACACCATTATTCCAAACAGTTACTAAGTCTACTATGTGTTATACAAACATTTATTTAACAAATTCCTCAAAGCTAAATATTTTGACTTTTCCCAACTTTTTGCTGTTACAAACAGTGCTGTGCGAACCATCCACGTAATTCTCTGTGCGTATATTAACGATTGCACAAGGCATCCTTTTGCACAAGATAAAAAGCTGAGATTGCTTAGATTTACTAACTACCACCCAGAATAAGCCTATCCTACCTGGCTTATTAATGCTTACACAGGAAACTTACTCACTTGGTAACTGTAAAAAAGTATGTATCATCAGGTGAAGAGAAAGTCTGTACTATTTCTAGGTCTAGGTTTAGAAACACACACAGAGCAACCAAGGGAGAGAATTACAGAAGTTGTGGCTTTGGGGGTCAACCAGGACTGAAAGTTGAAAGTACCATGTCATACCGAGATGCGCAAGGGTCCAAGAATGTGGCCTGCATGGGTACATTAAAGGAGGGAACATCTTCAGTTGAAAACTGCCTCTGGACAGTAAATTTTGTTCTTTTAAGAGAGTTTAAGAGGATATATATCATAACCATGTAAAATGATCATAAAACATGACTGAAAACCAACATCTTCCGGGCTCAGGTACCTGGCTTCTCCAGTCTGTGTTTCTAGTTGGTTCACCCAAGCCTTGTACACCTCTACAGGGCTCGTGTTGATGGTCAGGGACTTGTCGTCCAGGATCTCTTTCACCACTGGAGCCAGGAGCTGGCGCAGCGTGTTCTGTCCTCGGGCACCTCTGTTGAAGCTCACAACCATCTTGATGACCGTGGGGTTCCCAGTCACTATGTCCTGTACCTGATCCACCTTTGATCTAAAAGAAGCCCAGACCAAAACAAATGGGTTGCCTGTATGGACAGAGTTTTAAACAGCCTATGTTCTCTCTGGTGGGCAAGGACTTCATGGGGCTCTACTTCCTCCATGAAAATCAAAGGCGGCATGGTTTAAAAGCAAGCAATCATTTGTAAGATGTGTGTTCGTTATGCGAGGGACTCGAGGATGTAAAAATAAGTGCTCGGCTTTAATTTCGATCTAGAAGGCAGGAAGGAACTAAAAATGGACTGACACTAAGAAGAAGCCAGGGGGCCACCGTGCAAGTACTGTGTCCCATCTAGTTACCACATTTCAAAAACAACGTTCTCGATTCAATGAACTAAATCCACTTCTTCAAATCACACTCAAATTCTCCTCAGGGAAGCTTCTGGCTACCTCACATGGGGGGAGAGAGCTGCTCTTGACTGCTGATTGCCAACTCCTGTGAGCTTCCCTGACCCGCCTCCCTTTCATCTCCGTGCAGCCTCTCACCCTCCCACATGACCACGTGCTCCCTGTGTACCCCCTTTCCCCTCAGCGTCTCAGAGTGCTGTATTCCAGTCCTCATCTTACCCAGTTGTTCCCTTGGTTTCCTTTGTTGGCTCCTTTCCCCACATTTTAACTGTTCGATCTCACATCTTTCTACATGATCTACCCTCAGACCTCACTCATATGTGCAATCTCAACAACCATCTCCTTGGAACTTGTCCTCTGAGCTCAGCGTCTAATCCATCTCTCTCTCCTGGAAATTGGTTTTGGATTTCTGATTTTCTGCTGGACATTTTCCCCTTCACGTTCTATACCTGTAGCTCATACTCATTGTGTTAAAAATCCAAACTGTATTTTTTTCCTTCTGACTCCCCTATTTCTCTGACCCGTGCAGTTGCCCTTTATTCTGTTCATAAACAGCAGCAGATCAATCCTCTAGAAACCTCGCGTGGCCATGTCTATACTCTGCTCGAAGACCTTTCAGGGCTTCCAAGGAAGTGAACAGTGCCTCAGCACTTGGGCCTGGGCTCAGTGGCTCCCGTGATCTGGCCCAACCTATCTTTCTAGCTCCATCTCCTGTTCGTGACTAGTTAAATCACATTTTGGCGAGATTGATCCTACGTTCTTTCACCGATTTTGGCCCATGCTCTTTCTGTCAATATTGTTTCTTATTTCCCTTTTCCATTTCTTCTTATAAAAAACTGTAGATATTCTTGAAGGATTTGGATCAACTACTTTCTCTCCCTAAAGTCTTTTTTTTTTTTAACTTTTTTTTTCTTTAAAGATTTTATTTAGTCATTTGAGACACAGAGATAGAGAGAGAGAGAGCATGAGCAGGGGGAGAGGCAGAGGCAGAGGTTGAAGCAGGCTCCCTGCTGAGCCAGGAGCCCGATGCGGGGCTCGATCCCAGGACCCCGGGATCATGACCTGAGCTGAAGGCAGACACAACCATCTGAGCCACCCAGGCGCCCCTCTCCCTAAAGTCTTTATCGGCTGACCTAACTGGAACTTTTCTACCTTCCTCCCTTTCTTATTTATTATCTTTTGAGTAGAGTTGACACACATTACATTAGTTTCAGGTGTACAACTTAGTGATTTGACAAGTTTATACACTATGCTATGTTCCCCATAAGTGTAGCTGTGTCGGTCCCATTACATTGTTAAATTGCTATTACAATTGTAACTGGAACTGGAACTTCTCTCTCCATCCCTCTGATCTGTTACACTGTGTGTGTCATTCATTAGTACTTATTTATTCCAGTGCACACATTCCTATTTCTCATGTGTCCTATTTCTCAGGCTGGCTTACAGATACCCTGAGGGCAGAGGTTCCTAGCTAATATGCTTCTGAGATCCATAGGAACCAGCATAGCTCAAGTTATAAGAAGCCAGGAAGGCAGCTGAGATCCATCTTGTTGGCTAAGGGCATTTTTCCTGTATTCTTTTGGCCCCTTTAATATAGGCATCTGCACATTCCTTTTTATATTAACTGAATCAGAAAATAAATCAGTAAAAATCAGTTTAAGTTTCAGTAAGAGAAGTAAAAGAAGACTTTTTGGCAGAGACTATTATCCCCATCTGTTTACAGCTTTATTACTGACAGAATTTTAATTAAGTTAAATTTTTTCCACTGACTTTCAAAAAAGCTTTTGATTTTCAAGTTGCTGTTTACTTGCAAAGTCAAAAATAATTTAGCTCTAAAAAAGCTATCACTGGTGGGAGAAAGCTGTACCAGGAAATACCTATAGTGACGTAGAAATTTCTTAAGTGAATTGATATACTTGAACATATATGAGTAACTTATAAGGATAATTTAAATACTATTTTAGTAAATCAGAGATAGCTACCACTAAAATGATCTATTCATTGATATTTTTACATATATATTTATATACATACTTTATTTCTTCCTCCAGAGCAGTCTTAAAAAGCTTGAGGAGTAGATATTCTTCTCGCTGATTGGAAGCATAATTGTATAGTGTGAAAATAACAGTGTCCATAAATTTAGTTGATTTATTCTGTGGCATCTGGAAAATCAGCTTAGCCAGGTATAAAGGATTGGTCTAAAAACAAAACTGTATGTTAATATATTATTAAAACAGAGAGGAGTACCCAATTCCCTTTAATACGTATAAAGCATATAGTGGAGTATCTGACACATAATAAGACTTTAAAAGGTGTCAGCTAAAATTAATACTATAGGAAGTTATATTATAAAGCTACAATAGGATTTAAGTTTTATATGCTATATATTTAATGAAATATAGTTATATTATGTACATTATACACTGTTAACCATTTCAGGCTACATATTAATATTTAATGTAGAGACACAGAAGAGAGAGGGGTTGGCCAATAGAATCCGGTATCTGAAGAGACTGGCAATAATGAACCAAGAGACCAGCTACATAGATTATTCTAGAAGGACTAATGAATGAACAGAAGGAAATACGTCCCATATTCTGAGACTAGAAAGAAAAAGAAAAGGATACATTTACATGTAGAGACAGTGGGATGGCCAGGATGTTTTACAAGGAGAGAGAAGGTAGAAGTGAGGTGGGGAGTCTGAAGGGAGGGGTGAAGGTCAGGATAGCTGATGGATGAAACGGCAGAAGGAAGTGACAGAAAAAAAAAAAAAAAAACAACTTAAAACTCAAGAATTAAAAAAAAATTGACGTGGATTCCTGAAGGCTCTTCTGAGGATGGAGTTTCTGAGATACACCAGCAGCCTTCATGTAATATGGGTTTTCTCCAGGAGCTACACCAACCAGATCAGGTTAGAGGAAAACAACTACTATTTAGGTTATAGAGGAAAATATTTACATAGAGAAATTAAGTATCTCTACTCTTCATCTTCCTGCTGATGAGAAAAGAAAATTTTCCATGTGTGGAAACTAGTCTTCATTTAATACACTCAAGCAGTTTGGCTTTAAAGTTTTTAAGGAAAATCCAAATTCTAGTTTACCTTACTACTTAGGTTTACTTTCAAGCTCATCATGATTGTCTGAAACTTTATGGAGCAGTAGCTGAGGACGTTTTCTTTACAGTTCTGCAGTGATTCTTTTCCCACACTAAGCATATGGGATTAGGAGAAAGGAAACTCACTCTAAAGCTAAAAAGCCTACTCCTCATGCCTCCCAGATGACCTGAACACTTTCCATGGAGGCTGAGACTGAAGAGGCAAACGCAAAGCAAAACCTTTACTAGCTGACTTGTGCTTTGGCTCAGACTTCTTGCCAAGGCATCATTCAGAGGCCAAAGGAATCTAGACCATTTGCTTTTCTGTAGTTTCCTCAATGACCTCAGGCTAATGTCTCCGAGAAAAGGTAAAGAAAATTACATGAATTCAAGAGACACTTCACTCAGTACAACTGAATGGTAGAGCTCTGGGACTAGCAGTTTTGGGTTGTTTGGGGAATAAAGTGGTGGAATTATTCTCAAGATGTTCCTGCATTTTTTACCCTTTCCATTCATGGGTCTCCACTTACAGAACAAGGTAAAAAATACAAGTCTTAGGCCAATGACCACAGTTTCACTTTTCTTAGGACACAAATTCTATCAAAATCTACCACGAGAAACTATATCCTAAAGAAGCCTCATACATTTGGAAGGTTCATGGAGGTCAAAACAAATAAATGCCTAAGATTAAATTTCCAACTGGTGGATGACTACTATTCTAATTTAGGTAGACAAAAACCCTTCCCTACCCAGTGGGAGCCCCTTGTCTTTCTGGAAGGTTTGCTGGGGTTAATTAAGCAATGGATTCTATGGACAATAATACTGTTTTAACATTTTCCTTCTATGCTGCCACATCGTGGCCATCTGTGGTACTACACCTGCTCGCCAGTCACTCCGGACTGAGAATTCTCATCTGTACTAAAATTAACGTTAACTTCTTCCATGTGGCAAACCACGCCTCATTCATGGTTTGGGTAACGTGTTCTCTGTATACCTAATGTCAGCGTGGTCCCCAAGGAAAGATTCAGGGACCTTCAGGCCTTGAGGGAGTCACCACCAACAGCAGCAGCATCCCCATTACACAAAGGGACACCTGACTCTAGGAAGAACTGCTGAGCCACCTTTTCCGGGAAAATTGTCCTGCCAAAGGGAAGACTTTGTTTATCACTAAACAAAGTGATAAACTTTGCTTTGCTTACTTACTCAGTGCTTACTCACTTTCCTTTGGGACTAAGTGGATGTGCTGGTAGGACAGTTAAGGTGAATTAGTGATTAACCAGAACAGTAACTGGTCCACCACAGTTCAACCATAAGCAGTTCAACTTATTCTCACCTGCACCCTGGAAGCAGTGGAAAATGACTGTTCATTGACATCGTAGTAATGCCATGAAAATAAGGAAATCAAAAAGATGCCCTACTGCCCTAATCCAAACTCTCTGGTTCTATTCTCAAAAGAAGGGCAGGCTGGGTCAGGTAAAGATCCATTTTGCACATACTTTAATTTTTTCATGGCTGACAGCATCTGCTTATTTTATGACTAGGTTTATACTGTCTCTGCACATAACTGTAATATAACAGTCTCAGAAGCAAGGGCTCCAAAGTCAAACTGCTTGGGTTCCAATACCCTTGGCTTTACCATTTACTGGCTGCACCTCAGTTTTCTCATCTATAGTATGGGAATAACAATAATTATTGTGTTCTGAGCGTTGTGGTAAGAATTAAAAGATATGATGTATGTAAAGCATCCAGAATAGTACTTGGTACTTAGTAGTAGCTCAAACATGTCAGCGACTACAACTTTACATTGGGAAAAGATCCATTATAAACCACCAACAAGGAATATAGTATTGATCCAAAGCTTTTAGTGAAAGCAATTGTTCTCACCTGTAAAAGATAAAACAGCTGCTGGTATGTTTCTAGTGTTTTTCTTCTCTCCTTACTTAAACTTTTAATTCCCTGGTTGTCAGTGTTATTCAGTATTTGCATCTCTCCACCTTTTTTCTTATTCAGCTTCGTTCTGTGTGAAATTACATCCTAGAAAAAATTTATGAAATGATTACTTTTTATCCTGCTGTTTTTTACCTCCTCCCTTCACACACACCTCAAAACACATGTGTTGGAAAGATTAATTTTCCACATTTCCCTTAGGAAGAAACAAAGGAGAGAATGTTACATTAAGGAAACTCAGCTTGCAGGTGAATTTGGCTTTTGTAATATTTGTTCTCTAAAGCTGTACTTAGCTGTTCTTAAGATGAAATGTAGGCACCAATACATTTCAATAGGGAAAGAATGGTCTTTTCAACAAATGATTCTGGGATAAGTGGATATCCACATTTACAAGAAAGAAGTCAGACCCTGACTTCATACCATAAACAAAAATTAACTCAAAAGAGATCAAAGAACTAAAGGTAGGAGCTAAAACTATAAAACTTTTGAAAGAAAACCTAGACATAAATCTTTGTCCCTTTGGATTAGGCAATGGTTTCTTACATATGACATCAAAAGTACTAGTGACAAAAGAAAAAATAAATTGGACTTCATAAAAAGTAAAACCTTTGGCTTCAAAGGACACTACTAATGAAATAAGACAACCCACAGAAGGGGAGAAAATGTTTACATTGAATGAGGGATATAAAGAACTCTTGCATTTCAAAAATAAAGGCAGCCCAATCAAACATGGGCAAAAGATCTGAATAGACATTTTCCCAATTCATACCTTGCTGGTGGGAATGTAAAATGGTATACCCACTTAGAAAACATTTTGGCAGTTCTTCAAAAGTTAAACACAGAGTTACCATATGACCCAGCAATTCTGCTCTTAGGTATATACCCGAGAATGGAAGACCAGTGTCCACACAAAAATGTGTACATGAATGCTCACAGCAGAATTATTCATAATACCCCAAAAGAGGAAACAACTCATATGTTCATTAACTGATGAATGGATAGACAAAATATGGTATATCTGTACAATGGAATGTTATTTGTCAATAAAGAGGAATGAAGTACTAATTTAGGCTAAAACCTTAAAACACACAATACTAAGGGAAAAAAGCCAGTCACAACAGATCACATACAGTGTGATTCCATTCATATGAAATATCCATAACAGGCAAATCTGGCCAGAAAGTAGATTAATAGTTGCTCTGCTTTAGGGGAGAATAGGTAGTAATGTTAATGAACATGGGTGTTCTTTGTTTTTTTGAAGTGAATTGTTATTCACATATGATAAAATTCACATACCATCTAATTTGAGAACATTTTCTCTGGGGTTTCTTTTTGGGGTGAATGTTCTAGAATTATGGATGTTATGGTCCTACAGTTTTGTGAATATACTAAACACCACTAAAGTGTACACTTTTAAAGAATGAATTAGATCTTTTCAAACTATAAAAGCACTTGCAAAAAATATGTAATGTAGAAATTAGAGATGGAAGTGAAAGGAATCCCCTAAATTTTTTTTTTAAATGTTTTATTTATTTATTCATGAGAGTCAGAGAGGCAGAGGCAGAGGGAGAAGCAGGCTCCCCGCCTAGCAGGGAGCCCCATGCGGGACTCGATCCCAGGACCCTGGGATCATGACCTGAGCTGAAGGCAGACGCTTAACCATCTGAGCCACCCAGGCACCCAGAATCCCCTAAATATTTAACAAAATTTATTTTTCTCAATCTTGCTCCTTTAACCATTTACAACAGAATCTTGGAAAAGGTGTGGCTGCAAATCTTGTCAAGTAGTCATTTCAGGCTATTGTGTCCCCTTCAAGTGTGCAAAGGGTCATGAACAAGAGCAGGACTCTTAGGTAAGGGTCTACCAAATATTTTTACAGGGACCCACAGCACAAAATACATCTTACATCTTTTGCTGGTAAACACACATGCACATGCACACACACACGCAATATGAAATACTTATCCATACTACTGCGATACACTTTGATATCTTCAATTTGCTTTTATTCTCAACTTTTAAAGATTGCTGATGTGACTCGCTTAATTGCTTTCATGACCCACCAGTGGCACAGGACTCAAATGAAAGCCAGTGCTCTAGAATGCCTGCCTCCTCTGCCATGTAACCATGGGTCACTGTCCCACAGAGTAGGTGGCAATAAAGCTGTTTTTCCTAAATCTTCTTCCATCTGCTTCCCTGAGCTCTTAGCCCAGCCTCCATGTGAGGAGTTGATCTGCAGCCAGCATCAGGATGTTTGACCATGGTTCCCGAGGAGGGGCACTCCGGGAATTTCAGATAATACAATGCTTCATTGTGCATGCATCCCTGGATCACTGGTCATCTGGCATCCCTGGCCCCTGTGCATCAGATGCCCGTAGGGACCCCTAGTCATTTGGACAACCAAAAACGTGCCTGCCACCACTTCCAATTGCCCCTGGGGATGAGAACTACGGTCAGCTTTTGCGTACAGGTTCTAAATCTGCTTACGTCCTAGCATCCTGTTCTCCCATAGCTAGGGTCAATCCACGGGTAGAAAAAAAAACACCCCTTGGAGTTCTGCTCTCAGAAGCTTCCATGTGGGTTATACTCACTGTCTTGTGGGTCTATGATTTTATTCTTTGCCATTCTCAGCTTAGGGAGGGGCCACCTGGACTTTATCCCTTATATCTGGCCTCCTAACTGCTAGTATGCAGAAAGAGGGGGATTTGATTTGCATTTCCATGAACTTTTTATTTATTTTTTTTATTATTTTTTATTTTTTTAAAGATTTTTTTTTATTTATTTATTTGAGAGAGAGCAAGCACATGAGAGGGGGGAGGGTCAGAGGGAGAAGCAGACTCCCTGCCGAGCAGGGAGCCTGATGCGGGACTCGATCCAGGGACTCCCGGATCATGACCTGAGCTGAAGGCAGTCGCTTAACCAACTGAGCCACCCAGGCGCCCCTCCATGAACTTTTTAAAAAAGGCAACATTTTCACCCTTATTTCATAAGCATATGAAAGATTTCAGGATGAAGAAAGGAAGTGTACTAAGCACCAGCTGGAGATTAAGGGGGAAGTCTGGGCAGGTAGCTGCTTGACGTCCTTATTGACAAGAAGTCCTAAAATATCACTAGATTAAGTCTGGTTTACAACTCCATATATCCCAGCTTTCTTCTCTTCAAGTCATCATTCAAGTCTCTCAAATACATGAAGTAAATAGATTATCTTGGTTTTAAATATGTGGCAGACATAAAATCTTGGTATTTAACTCCCCCTCCAATTATTTTCAATGGAGGTGGCTCTGGAAACTGAAGACTTTTCATTTGTTTTATTCTTGGACTTCATCCGTGTGTTAGGTTTTTGACATACACAGAAGAGGAGAGAGAAGAGAGGGTGGGAGTGGCAAGCAAGCTCTGGAGCAGAACTAAACTCCTTTGCATTAGAAGAGAGACATTTGGTGAGGGCAGGACCGGGACAGTAATCCAGGATGGGAAGCCAAGCGTCAGATGCTGAGCCCTGGAGGGGAAAGGGTGGGGGAGCTAGCAGCTGGGCGGATGGGACACAGTGTCTGCGGCAGATCCCACTGCAGAATGGTGGGGAGCATGGCAGAAAGCCCATCTTCCTTCTTCCCTGAAATTATGCCTTGCTCAAGACTGCTCTTGTGTCAACAGAAGTTTTCTTTGGGAAGCTCAAAGGAGGAGACAAAGGCCAACCAGGGAGGGCTTCCAAATGCATATGCTTTTCCCTAATAGAAATTTCACGTCCTTTATTCTTACCAATAAGTCTTGAACATGGGAAGCACGGTGGTTTGAAGGAGCAACAGTATTTGACTTGTTCATGATGTTCCCTCATTTTGATGTTGCCCCGATGGCCACCATTTTGTCCCTTCCCCTGATCACAGGATACCTGCGTGCAGGTCAGAGGCTGTGGTATGAAAAATTTTATAGGAGTGTAGAGTAGTACAAAGGGTTTGGGCTTTGGAGACATGAAAGTAGGGCTACCTGCACAGCGTTGTTAGCTTTGCCACCATGCACAGGTTAACCTCTCTAAGCCTGTTTCCTAAATCTATAAAATGGGCTTAATGATTGCAGTCTCAGTTGCTGTGAAGGTTAAAAACAACATATGGGAAGCATTGAGCACATTTTCCGGGGAAAACAAGGCTCAGAGAGGTTAAGAAACATGCCCAAGGAAACATGCTTATATCCACAGTGAAGTGGTACAATTAAGCTGTAAAATTAGTCTTCCCCTGGGTTTTCGGTAGCCCTGGCCTCAAGGTCTGCACTCCTATTACACACCACATTCATCAATGAGTATTTCAGGGGTTCCAGATTCCTTTGACTTTATTTTTTTCTTTTTAAAAAAGATTTATTTGCTTATTTTAGAGAGCGCGTGCACTCGTGTGAGTGCAGAGAGGGGTGGCGGGAGAGGGAGAGGGAGAATCTCAAGTGGCGGATGCAGGGCTCGATCCCACGACCCTGAGATCATGACCTAAGCTGAAATCAAGAGTTGGACACTTAACCAACTGAGCCACCCAGGTGCCCCAAGATTACTTTTACTTTCTATTCAGATTTTCTTTCAAGCTTGTTTGAATTTATACCTTTCTTCCTCCCTACTTCTCTAAGAAACTTCTACTTCAGTTGCTTTGTCTCCATCTCTAAGCCATTTTTTTTTTTTGCCTAAAACCAATGTTAGCCATTTCATTCACCCACTGACGTTCTGTGATTTATAGGAGGAATGCCAATTTTATTTTATTTATTTATTTTTTTGGTAAGATTTTATTTATTTGACAGAGAGAGACACAGCGAGAGAGGGAACACAAGCAGGGGGAGCGGGAAGAGGGAGAAGCAGGCTTCCCCCCGAGCAGGGAGCCTGATGCGGGGCTCGATCTCAGGATCCTGGGATCATGACCTGAGCCGAAGGCAGACGCTTTAATGACTGAGCCACCCAGGCGCCCCTTATTTTATTTTTATTTATTTATTTGTAAGGTCTATGCCCAACATGGGGCTTGAATTCATGACCCCAAGATTGAGAGTTGCATGCTGTACAAACTGAGCGGCCAGGAGAGGAACATCAATTTTAGAAAAATTTTAGAGCTGGAGTTGTTCTTTGTAAACTAAGCTACTTCCTTTAAAAACCTTTCTTTCCTAACTAAACACATGCTCAGTATGTAAGTATGTATGTATGTATGCATTTAAGTGATTTTATTTATTTACTTGACAGAGAGAGAGGGAGAGAGAGCACAAGCAGGGGGAGCTACAGGCAGAGGGAGAGGGAGAAGTAGACTCCCTGCTGAGCAGAGAACCCAGCTGGGGCTCGATCCCAGACCCCAGGATCAGGACCTAAGCCGAAAGCAGATGCTTAATGGACTGAGCCACCCAGGCGTCCCAACATGCTCAGTATTAAAAAAAAAAAAAAGAATCTCAGAAGTTTAATTTTACCAGCCCCCCAAAGAAAAATCACTTAACTTTTTTCCTAGCTTTAAGTAAAATATATATATATTTCACAACAAATGAAATTGTACTGTTTTAAGTAACTGTCTTCTCTCTTGTATTGCAAACATTTCCCCCTGCCCTTAAAAATGTTCTTTGAAAAATTATTTTTAGTGGGTATGTAACGTACATGTTAAACTAATTCTGTTGTTCTCTGTTTATTGTTTTTGTGTTTGGGTTGTTTCTCACTTTTTCACTACTATAAAGCTTCAACTGTACTATTCTTATCATCAAACTAAAAATACTACTATCAGTAATAAGACCATATACTTAATAATCATTAACTTAATTTCCAATAAGTAATCAATATTTGGTGTTTGAAAAGGTAAGTTGAAAAATTAGCTCTGATTCACAATGCTATCAATTGGGAATAGTTTTTTGGGTTTTTTTTAGATTTTATTTATTTATTTGACAGAGAGATAGAGAGAGAACACAAGCAGGCAGAGGGAGAGGGAGAAGCAGGCTCCCTGCAGAGCGGGGAGCCCGATGCGGGACTCGATCCCAGGACCCTGGGATCATGACCCGAGCCGAAGGCAGCCGCTTAACCGACTGAGCCACCCAGGCGCCCCAATTGGGAATAGTTTTAAAAAATCTTAAACATTCATAAGGACCTGAAAATTTGCCATGATTTCATTTTCCACATGAATAACAAGCTACATGTTATGTCTACTATTCAGTGTTTTGCAACTAGCCTTTACTTTAAAGGGCAAGGCATTTCCTGTTTACAACTTTATGGAGTAGGGTAAAACAGCAGTTGAAGGCTATAAAAGGCATTTTCTGAAGGACCTTCTGGAATATATTATACTTTACAAATTCTCATGTTTGTCAAATAATATACTTTTTTTTTTAAAAGGAGAAAAGTACTATTTTTCTGGATAAAATGATAAAAACAGACTTAATACAGAACACTTAAATTGTACTTAATAGTTAGAAAAGACCATCATTTCCTATTTTATAAACTGCTCTATTTTCCTTATTTTCTGTGCACTATTTCACTATTTCTCTCTGAGGGCCAGAGACAAGAGTGGGGCATTCACATCCACTTCTCTGCTGGCCTCCTGAGCCGCGCATTTCCCAGAACCACAGACTCAAGTCCGTGGCAGATGGCACTCTATGGTAGCTTTCTCGGAGTTTCCAGAAGGTTAGCTTCCCATGCCCCTCCCAACCTATCCGTTTTCTGAAAACTGATGTGGCACTGGAACAGGGACATGGAGAGACCTCTTACACTACCAATCTCTTTTCTTGGGTAAAAATGAAACTTTTCACATGGTTTGAGAGAGCTCTGAAAGGAGCAGTTTTCACACAGATACAAAACTATAGCATTAGTTACTTAGAGGCTGTTTTGGGGGCAGTCCACTCTGTAGGGGCCATTTTGAAAATGTGTAAAGGTGTTTGTTATTTTAAAGATGGAATTTTTTTATTTAAGGAGAGAGAGAGTGTATGTGTGAGTGGGGGGAGGGGCAGAGGGAGGGAGAGAGAGAATCTCAAGCAGACTGTGCATTGAGCGCCTAGCCCGATGAAGGGCTTGATCTCACGACCCTGAGATCATGACCTGAGCTGGAATCAAGAGTTGGACCTCCAACCGACTGAGCCACCAGGCACCCCGAAAAGGTGTTTTTTTGTTTTGTTTTGTTTTGTTTTTAACATCCTAACAACTGGAAGCTACTACTGGTTTCTAGTGGGTAGGGGCAGGGATGCTTTGCTGTCCTGCAATTTGTAGGACAGTCCTGCGTAAATTCTCCACATTTCGCACAACTGGATTTTTCAATGTCCTGCTGGTCATTCATATAGGTCGAAATTCTGTGATTATTTGAGCCTAAAAACTAATTGCTTTAGATAGAAGCAAGATACATTTCTCCCCAATTTTAACATACCCGGACTTTTCTAGGACTGTAATTCTGTGGCCGGGGGTGGGGGCAGGGGGAGAGTGACAGGCTTATTCTGAACTTTACAAAGAGTTGTTTTCCACTCTGAAAATGAAATCACTGACAGTTCCCCCACTCGCAAGCATCAGTCTCATCTGCAGCTATTAGTACTTTGTTCAGTGTGGGTACTCTGGGAAGAGGCTCAAGCCTCAGGCAACTTGATCACATCTTCCAAGGGCACTGGGCCCACGTACTTTCATGTTGAAAACCATGCTTTTACTATCAGTGACTTTTTTATATTCACGGAAAGGCCTTAGCCTCATTGTGAAGGTACATATGCAAGTAGGCTTTGTTTCATGTACTATTCATTTCAGAAGGGTAAAGAAGTCTTACAAAATATGTTATAAGGGGTGGGGGCCTAAAATTTTGCAGATCTGAGAACCATGAGAAAGATGGTCAGTGAATTTGGACAACATATCCTGGATTCCTGATGGACAAGGGTGTTGCAGGCAAATACAAGGGCCCCTTCTCTCGTCTGGGAGCCAGAGGCCCCACAGACATCACTGACCTCCAGTGTGATCCTGTTCTTCACCAGGAGCCCAATCTTGATGTCCATCAAGTTCAGGTCTTTCTCGAGCTGTTGGTTGCCTCTGATCTTGGTCACCACTTCTTCTCTTAACCGTGCTACCTCCAGCTCTTCCTGGAAATCCAAGTTACTTTGGTCCAATAGGTGTACAAATTTTCGGATCACCGTTAATGGTGGGTTTTCCGAGCCAACTGTGGGGAAAGGAAGAGGCATGCTTTAATTAGGCATGTTTGGAACTATCACCAGTAGGAGAGGAATCAGGTATTTCACTAAAGCATTACTATAAAAATACAGCAACGGAAGTACTTGGTCACTGGAGTGACTCATTCTGCCCATGTCAAATCTGGACAGGGAACCTGATCATGTAAATAACCGCACACAAATGCCATCTGGTAGGTCTTCTCGTTATCTAATTCTCATTTATCAGCCTTCTCCCACACTGCTTCCAGGACTCTCCCACGGAGAAGACAGTTCTACCTATCTGTGCCTTATTGATGAGGCACTTGAGAAGGCATGTTAACGGAGTTATCTCTGAGACCTTGTGGCTGAGCCAGATAAGCGATTTCTGTTCTTGCTAGAGGAAACAGAAAGTGGCTTCTCTCAGCCCAAAAGACCATGGGGGAGAGAGCAGGAATTAGGTGAAAGGTGAATTAGAAAAAGTCAATGAGAGGAGACCTGTAAGACCAGACAGGAGCCAATGGAATGACAAGTGGAATGCACATTCTATGTGGCACAAATAAAAGGATTTTAGAAATTGAAATTTGGTCCTTGTCCTTTCAGCACAGACCAAGTGAGGGCACTCAGAGCCTGGGAGACCAGCCTCAGCTGTTGAGAGGGGGTTCTAAATTCTAAAAGAGTTTCCCCTCAGTGCTTTGAACATTAATTATGCTTTAATTCCCTGGCACTCTGACTTCACAAAAAATACATTTGTTAAAGTGTTTTAGTGAACACTGGGTCAGTGTAAGAATAAACGATCTGGACCTTCAGGGATGAATGTTACAACAACACGAAGATGACTTGAAAAAGCTCAGCCCCATTGTGGTGACTTCCATCACTATCCTCTCCTTTACACTGAATCCCTAATCCATCTTCTTTTTACTTCCAGCTTGGTTCTGGGGTGTTTTGACATTCAAGAAATAAAAAGAGTTAAACAAACAACACAAAGAACTAACAGCATGAACCCCACATGAACAACCAAATCTAGGGGCATCTATATTAGTATTTTGCCACTTCTGATGGGCTTTATTGGAGAAATTACTTTGGCTCTTGGAACCCTTCTTTTCCTGATCACTGAAGCACATGTGAATTTATTTTCTACCATTTCTAACAAAGACATTGCTAATGACATGGCCAGTTCAGAAAAAGCCTGAGTGATGCTCCAGAGCTCATGTGTATGTAGCTAAGTTGGGAGAACACGAGCCAGCTCATTTGGTCTCAAATTCTCTCTCTGCTCCTAAGGATTGCTTATCTCTGTGTGTGCCAATAAACACGTTAGAAACAAATTAGTATTTTAGCTTTACTAATTATTATGGCCCAAATTTAATATTTCCTCTGTCAACAGTAGGCTTGTGACATCTTCAGGCTGGGAATCACTTTTAGTTTCAGAGAATCACCTAACGTGATAGTTAGCACTGACAAGTGGCCAAATCACAGTTGCAGCAACTTCCAAGTCTGAAGTTACTCAAACCCTTTCCAGAAGGAATGGGTGAAAATGGATGATGACAGACTAATAAAAGTGACTTTTTTTTCAGATTAAAAATGCCTTAGTCTTGGGGTGCCTGGGTGGCTCAGTTGGTTAAGCATCTGCCTTCTGCTCAGGTCATGATCTCAGGGTCCTGGGATCAAGCCCCATGTCAGGCTCCCTGATCAGTCTGCTTCTCCCTCTACCCCCTGCTCATGCTCTCTCTCTATCTCTCTCCCTCTCAAATAAATAAATAAAATCTTTAAAAAAATGCCTTAGTCTGACAAAGATGGTGAATTGAGAAAGAAATGAAAATTTACATTTCAGTTACAACAAAACCACCCTATTTGCTAAAGCCCAGAGCAGCTTAGATCTAAGTTACTCACTAACATAGTTTCTATCTACCTTCTATGCTTTAACATAAAATCACCTGGACTTTTTAACTGGAATTTCTTTTGTCTTCTAATTAAAAAAAAATGTAAAGGGGCGCCTGGGTGGCTCAGTTGGTTAAGTGTCCGATTCTTGATTTTGGCTCAGGTCATGATCTCAGGGTCATGAGATCGAGCCCTGCATCAGGCTTGGTGCTCAGCGCAGAGTCTGTTTGAGATTCTCTCTCTCCCTCTCCTTCTGCCCCTTCCTCCTCTCATGCTCTTTCTCTCTCCAGTAAATAACAATTTAAAAAAATGTAAGCAAGTAAAAAGCATCCCCCCAACTGACCACAAAAACATGTTATCTAGAATGAAACAAAAAGCAGCCTGTGTTCATTTGGAAAATTTATTCTTAAATTGTCTTTCATGAGCAAAGGCAGTAGCAAACCTGTTTTAGTGTGTTAGGGCTCAGAAAACAAAATCCCTATTTAGCCTTCTTGTAAAACACTTAAAGGTATCCACCGAGAGATGAATCTCATTAATTCAACAATGGAGAAGTGTGGCCCTGAAAAGACTAGCTGGCCTTTCCTTACTTAGTTTGCACAGGGAATGCTGGAATCCAGCAGAATGATGTGTAATCCAATACATTCTGCAGGCTGGAGGCAGAACCTGGCCTCTAAATCTTCCTGAGGTTTTTCCTTAACAAGTACCAGGGAAAACCTTTCTTGAGCCATATATTTCATCTCAAAACTTAGATAGACTTTAGGCAATAAATGGCACGAGCTAAACTACTTCCTAGGCACTGTGCTGGTTACATTACTCAAGTTTGACTTCCTCCAAAAAATAAGAAGAAGCAAGACAGAGGTAGATACAGTATAATGGCCATTTTCATGACTAAGATGCACAAGTCATGATTTTTCTTTACCCTCTCAAAACTAATTCGGAATGACTAAGCAAAATATTTAAAAAGTTTGTGCAATACTAGTAAGTTTATCAGCAAGTTCTTAATCTATCACATGTTCTTGTGATAGTAAGAATGTTAAAAATTCAGCATACAAAAAAAAGATGTTCACTTTGTAAAGAACAGAAGAACATATGCAAAGTTGGGATTGTAAATAGTTGCAAAATGTCAATGTTATTTCTGGGTGATTTTTATTTTGCTGTTTCAAAACTTTCTAAAAATGGCATATATTAGTATTATAATAAAAAATATTTTAAAAACTATAGGGACCATGGAAAGTCTAGAATGAAATTATGGGAAGATGTTCATAGTCATCTTTAGGAGATGAGCTTTTCCCCTTCTTATTCATATATTTTCCTTCTTATTCATGTTTCCAAAATTTCTTATACAAACATGTTTTATTCTTAAAACAAGGGGAAAAAATTGTAGGCCAACAAAACAGATTAAACAGTTCAAATATAAGCTTATCTTCTGGCTAACTCCTTTGCATTAGATTTCTGACTCTAGCTCAAATTTAATATAAAAATATCAGCATTTATACCAATTCCATTCTTCCTGAAGAAATCATATCCACTCTACCTACCCCTTTCACTTATAACAGGAAGGCCCATTTCCTGCCATCAATGTTCCTTTGTGCACCAGTTCAGAACCTGGGGTCTGAGATGGTCAAAACTTACTGGAAACACTGGACAACTTCTGTTCCTGGAGCGGCCTCTAAAGTGACTAAGATGTTTTTGTTTTTGCCTTGTTTATAAGGAACCCATACTTTGTTTCAGAATATAGATGATCCCCAGCAAGCAATGGCTCGACTTACTATGTTTTGACTTCATGCTGGTGCAAATGCCATACACATTCAATTAGAAACGTACTTTGAATTTTGAATTTGCATCTTTTCCCAGGCTAGCATCATGCCATAGGATGCTCTCTTCTGATGCCGGGTGGCAGCAGTGAGCCAGAGCCCAGTCAGCCATGTGATCACCAGGGTAAACAACCCGTACACTCACGACCATTCTGTTTTTCACTTGTAGTGTGGTATTCAATAAGTAACACGAGACAGTCAACTCTTCACCATAAAATAGGCTTTGTGTTAGGTGATTTGCCCAACTGTAAGCTAATATAAGCGCTCTGAGCACAGTTTAAGGCAGGCCAGGCTAAGCTGTGATGTTCCATCTATTAGGTGTGTTAAATGCATTTTCGACTTAGGATATTGTCCAACTTACGATGGACTTATTAGGACGTAACCCCATTGTTAGTGGAGGAAGATCTGTCCTACTTACCCAATGTTTTGTAGTCATCTCTAGCTTTGTTTGCTCTCAGTAGTGACTGAATTTTCACAATTTCATTTTTCTGCAAAAGAATGAGACCAGTCATGATCTTCCCAAGGCCCATCTATTCCACGATTGTAGAGTTCAGAACTACTTAAGAACTGTCAGTATTTAAGAATGGACATTATTTAGGGGCACTTGGTTGGCTCATGTGGTGGAGCATATGACTCTTGATCTCAGGGTTTTAAGTTTGAGCCCCGTTTGGGTATAGAGATTACTTAAAATGTTTTTTTTTCATTTTATATAAAAGAATATTTTAATTCTTGTCCTTAGGAACTACAAAGACTACACATGATTTGGAAATGAGACTGTACCAAACAATGGCCAAGGAAGAACCATCCACTCTATGCCTTATCTTTGGTCTGGTCACTCAGAATTTTAAATAATTAATTAATTTACGTTAGAGAGAGAGAAAATAGCAGATTCCCAGCTGAGCATGGAGCCTGACGTGTGGCTCGATCCCACCACACTGAGATCACGACCTGAGCTGAAATCAAGAGTCAGACGCTCAGCTAGCTGAGCCGCCCAGGCACCCCTGGTCACTCAGATTATGTTATCAACTGTTGACTGTGTTGCTTGTCACCTCATGTTATTTTCATCTGTGTATTCACCATAGTCTCCTTTCCTTTCCCCATAAATTCGGGGCCCCATTCCACATACTGATATACCATGGTGATACACCATGCCTGGTTGGAATACTGATATTCTGTGCCATGTTGTCTTCTGCCTGACATCACCCATTTGGTGTGCTTCACTCTCCCCTGACCGCCGCATCTCATTCGCTGCTAGAGAAGATACTGTGACTGGGTTTTCCCCTCCCACCTGTTTCATGACGGGGTCCCGACCCACTTGCTCAAGTAGCTGCACATGGTTCAGAGATCTTTCAAGAACCAAGTTGCTGGCTATTTCAGACTCATGTCTTACAAACTCATGCAATGCCTCTAATACAGGTCTCCAAAACATGGCTTCTACTGGTTTTTCCTACAAGCTAGTCTTTGGTCTTTCCCCAGCGAAGGACTCGCAGCTCCCTCCCTCCCTCACCGGACACTCTCAAAAATAAAATCTTTTTTTTAAAAGAACAAAAATTATTTAGAACTGGCAATATTTAGATGGAGTGTACTCAATGTTTATTTTTTGCATTTTCTTTGCAGAGAAAGGGTCAGCTAAGTTAGCTAAAAGTATTGACAAGATTGTATGGGACTGTTTATAAAGAGATCTAAAAGGAAAAAGAATTTTAGCCCCAAATTTAGATGATTCAATCTATGTTCATTTATCTATTCTTTAAAGATCCTGAAAAAAATTCTTCCTGTGGGCCTCTATTTAAGTTTATCAGTTAGCAGTTAGAAAAGCTTTACAAGCAGTGCTGGAAAATTCTCGTCTGGAATCTTTTCTCTTTGGCATTACTAGTCCACATCCGTTTCTTCTCACACATTTCCTATGCAGTCCTAAATAGCGAAGTCTCACTCTGAACATGAGTTCTGAAAAAAAAAAAGTAAGCCTCCAAATATTATCACTTTGAATTCTTAAGACCTGTTGTTTCCTCCTACTGTTCATTCCCACCATTTAGCTCTGGACTTCTAAAAAAAAATGTTAGGTTACTGATGTATAGATAGCAACTGTCCATCCAACTAAGTGACACTGATGTTTTAGAACTTGAGCCAAAGGCAGCTGGGGAGATATGAAAATATCACCTAACCCAATTAAAAGCTTTGGTGTGTGTCTTAGGACAAAAGGAAGCAAGTGCATGAAAAAAATTTATGAAAGAAGACATTTCATTTTCTCTTCCTGAACTGACAAAATATTCTATTTAATACAAAGACTAGATAGGAACACCATGCAGCCAACATATACAATATACTAACGGTCTTCCACTCGGTTCTTTTCTAAAAACATTTCTACCATTTAATAGAAATCATTAACGTTAACATTCAACAAAGCATTCATTCAGCTCATTCTCAACCAGGGTGAAAATCCACTTGCGTGTCTCTTACATGATCTCTGAAATACTGCAGTCGTGCAAGGTATATCCTCCGTGCAACTATCATCCGGAACCAGGACTGAATCTAAAAAAGAGTTAAATGGAGAAATCAAGGCAATTACTAAACAACCTTTAAACTTTTCACACAGTCCTTCTACAGATAACATTGGTCTTTTGATAAAAAAGTAAAAGTGAGCAGCCCACCAAATAATTAACATCCTAAGCCTCATCTTCATCTCCTACTTCTTTCATTGCTTTTTTCCTAGGGTTTCAAAGCATTTTATGCCTTTTGGTGGGGAAGGTAATGTAGCTTTGTACCATTTTGCTTTCATCTCAATAAATAAAAACCAAGAGGGCAAGGCATTTTGCTGACAGTTGCAATAGGTCAGGGAATCAAAAACCAAGTCCAGGGTTTCTTCCAGCATCCCTTAAAGGCATCCAGGATCCTTTAGGTCTTTACAGGAAAACATGTCCAGAGTTCTCATGAGGGGCCGGTTGGGACCTACAGTTTTCCGAGACAACAGGCTTGTGATCCATGGCAAGCACAGCACATTACTAAGGAGCACAATGGATCTAGATGATGTTATTCAATGCCTTCACAGTTTAAAAGGTCTTTTGAATTAATTTCATTTGATTCCAATCTCTCCAGCCCTGCCATTCCAACTCTAATCTGGACTTCCACATTGTCTGCAAGTTCATTTCTGGGCAGTCCTCTGGTTTTTAGCACTGGGCAGTGGGTACCCCAGGGCCTTTTCTTTTTCTAAACTCAGAGCCATCAGCCTGGATCCAGAGCTGGGTTAGACCTGCTCACCTCCCACACACAGGCCCTAATTTAGTTCTACTTCTCCTTGTCACTGGTTTTACATTTGCCTAACAACTAAAGTTTTGTACCGTTAAGTTTTGTAAATATTATTAGTGAATATGGTAAGATGCATGTGAAATAACAGTTTTCCCCCAGAGCTTAAATAATCATTTTGGATTTCCTAGAGAAAGAGCATTTACAGGTTATGAAATACTTGCACATTTGATTCTCAAAACCACATAAAGGACCTGAGCCAGGTACGGTGTTTTAACAGACTTGAAGATGATCAGCTGAGTAATGGACATGGGACTCAAACCTGGGACTTAACTCTGACTTCAAGACTCTTATGTATTCTTTTTATAATCTGTATTCCAGGAGCAAAACTAAAATGAAGAAAAAGGTTTAAGTCAAGCACTGGATAAGGTAGGAAGGGATATCTACCTTCACAATGGAATCAGTATTATCAATCAACATTTGCCGCCTGCGCGAATATGCTTTCCGTTGTTTATGTCCCTTCCAACAAGCCTGTGGGAAAGATCAAGTAACAGAATTACTTATGTGTAACAGTTTCCCACTTAATTTTAGAAAGCACAAGAACAGAGTACATCTCAGGAGACACTGAGTTGGAACACTGCCAGGGGCCTTCCCTTCCAAATAGCATGTGGACACCCTCACTGGGAGGTGGACATTATATTGAACAGCATGTACGAGCTCACAGCTTATCCCAAACTTGGGAAAGTACATTTACCAGGTAGAAGCCCAGTTTCTCATTTGAAAGCTTAATTTTACCAAGGCTCTGGGTGACAAGAGTAATAATAAAATGGAATTGCTCTGAAACATACAAAGAGATGAACTGAGTATTGCTATCATGTGGTAACAACAGAAGATGCTTCAAAGTAATGACTAGTATCTTTACTCCAGCAAGTACCCCACCATGGATGGCCCAGATCAAGGAAGATAAATGCTTGACTAATTTGTAACTCTGGATCCCTGAAAAAAGGAGTGCTGTGATTGATCATTTATTATCTTATTTCTACATAAAGTTTGGTGATGTTTCATCAACAAAGCTTTACTAGGTTATCACCATTAAAGAGAACTTTTATAAGCGACATTTACAAAAACTAGACACAAACTGGTATGTTTAGAATGATTAAATACAAAACTAATTTAAGTTTATTCCAATTCATTTTTGAGAATCTTTTTATTGAAACTTAACTTTGTAACTCACTTCAATTCTCTGGTTTTGTTTTCATGTTAGAAATGAAATACAAGTTTCTTGTTAAAAAGGACTAATACAAAAAATCAAATTATTTTTATAAATTTCATGTCTACATATGTCAATCTACCTCATCCATTCTTTTTAAAAAAGGTATGTGGAATTTTATTACCATTTAAAAAATATGTCTTGTAATGATTCAAAACAAAATAGTACAGTAAAAAAATGATCAACTAAGCACTTGTTCCAGACTTCTCCTCTCAATTAAAATCCTTAGAAATGACAAAGTATTTTAAAAAATACTTTCTTCTTTTTGAAATAATTAGAAACTCACAGGAAACTCCAAAAATAATGGAGTTCCCCTAATGGTAACATCTCACAAATAGGCTTTTAAAGCTATTCACTATAGTCTTAGAAAAGAAGGCATATGGATCAATAACTCTGAGGGATCCTGGAAGACAGAAGGTAGCTGGAATTGGACTTCAAGAGGAAACCACAGAACCAACATCTACAAACAACGTAGGATGGCTATAACCTTGAGGGAGCCTCGGGCAGCACTCAGAATAACTTTGGGTAAGTTGTTACCTTATCCACTTGTCAAGCAGTGAATAAAATAGCAAAGATGGGAGAGTGGGGTTCAGGCAAAGTACAAAGGAATACAGCCTTTTTGAGGGAATTTAGCAATATCAGATTTAACATTATTTAGTCTTTCACCAAGTATTTCTAATTTTCTTTTATCTAGCCTAAGAAAGGCACCACTACAGAAGAAATATATGTAAGGGTTTTTGCTGCAGCATTGCTTGTAATACTAAACATGTGCATAGAGCAGAATCTTTACAAATGGGGAAACAGATCAACTGCAATTGCACTCCTAGTGAGGGATGCTACATGGCAGTTATGAAGAATGAAAGAGGGTCACATATATTGACTACAGCAATGTTCTGTATCTTGAGGAACAACAGGATCTCCAAGATACAATGCAAAGAAAACAAGGAAATTGTAGTTTGCCACAAATACTATGATATGACCTGTTAAGAAAAAAAGAAAAACATAAATAATATCTATTTCTATGCAAAGAATCTGTACTCAATGCCTAGAAAATGATGTACTAGGATATAGTAGAGAAAAGGTGTAAGGTAAAATATGCCTATGTACCTACCACTTTTGTAGCTACTCTACAAAAAAAACTATTAATTTTTTGCTATGTATTCTCTGAAATGGGCAAACATAGGGATATGCATATATACTCTTATTGTAAACAACCTTGTACACACATTATTATGTATTTTGTATGGATTATTCCATCAAGATAGGTTAATAGATGGGGGATTACTGGCTCAATAGTTGATATTTAAAATGGATAGCTACTGTCAAATTGCCCTCCAAAGAGTGTATGATAGACAGTTCTTTCCCCAGGGTTTCACTGAATTGACAAAAATGAAAAAGATTGATGCTGTCCAAATTGACTGATAAAAACTGCTCTTCATTTTTATTTATACTTTGATCTCCAGCAAACCTTACTTTCCTGCACATACCTACCCCATTTATAATACAATTGTATTTTGTCTATATACCTTTTAGTACCATATAAGACAGTGTTAAAATTTTTACTTCAACTGTCAAACATAATTAAAGAAATTCAAGAGTAGAAGGAAAATATGTTTACTCACAATTTTACTTTCATTGTTTTTTTTTCTTCCTGCTTTTCCAAAATTCTTTTATCATTTTCTTTTTTGTTTAGAGAACTTTCTTTGCTATTCTTTTAGGGCAGGTATGCTAGTGACAAGTTCTATTAATTTTCCTCTTCATCTGAGAATGCCTTGATTTCCTTTTCATTCCTAAAGAATATTTTCGGTGGATAACAAATACTTTGTTGGACAGTTCTTTACTTTCCATGTTGTGCCATTCCTCCTCATCTCCATAGGTCCTTATGAAAAATCTTCTGTCATGAGAACTGTTTTCCCCCTATAGCTAAGCTGTCATCTCTATTTCATTGTTTTAAAGATTTTTAATATTTTTTTTTTTGTTTTCAGAAGTTTGTGATGCATCTTTGGGTAAATTTTTTTGACTTTATCCTCTTTGGGGTTTACTCAGCTTCTTGAATCTGTGGTTCTGTGTCTCTGACCACACACAGAAACTTTTCAGACATCATTTATTTCAGGTTTTTTTAGTACTTCCTCTGAAACTCTGATGACACAAACATTCAATCTTTTTTTATGGTCCACAGATGCCTTGAGGCTCTGTTCATTGTTTTTTCAATTGTTTCTCTCTGTTGTTCAGATCTAGTAATTTCTATCATTCTATTCTCTAGTTCACTAATTTGATCCTGTGTTCCTTTCATTTTGCTGTTGAGTCCATCCATTCAGTTTTTTATATGTTGTTCTATGTCTTAGTTCTAAAATTTGTTTTTTTTCTATCTTCTATTTCTCTGTTGAGACTTTATATTTTTTCCTTTGTTTCAAGTGTGTTCATAATTGCTTACTGTAACATGGCAGCTTTAAAATCTTTGTCAGCTAAATTATAACATCTCTGTCATCTGTATTGGCATATATATTTTTTAAGATTTTATTTATTTATTTATGTGGAAGGGGGGAACATAGAGGGAGAGTGAGAAGGAAAAGCAGACTCCCTGCTGAGCAGAGAGCTCAACATGGGGCTCGATCCCAGGACCCCAAGATCATGACCCAGACGAAGGTAGACACTTAACTGACTGAGCCACCCAGGCGCCCCTGTATTGGCATCTATTAATTGTCTTGGTTCTTGAAATGTTTATTATTGTTTGAAATGTGGACAAATCGGATTATTATGTGATGACTAATAAGACTCTGGATCTTATTTAACCTGTTCTAGGTGGTTTTCCCTGACATTGTTCTGGCAAGGGAAGGGGGTGGTGGTGCTGCCTCATTACTGGCAAGGAGGGGTGGAAGTTCAGGTTTTCTACCTAGCCTCTATTGATATCTGAGGTGGGGGCTGCTTATTACTGCTGCGTGGGAGCTGGGAGCTCTAACTACGCCCCAAGGCTGTGCCAATTCCACTTTGCCCAGGAGGGCTGTGTTACTACTCCTCATGTGCCTTACACTGAGAGCAGAAGGCTTTGCCGGCAGGTGGCCTCATTACTACTGGGCTGTCATCAAAGTCCTGACTTTCCACCATGCCTTCTTTGACACCACCTAGCAAGGAAAGGGAGGGCTGCCACATTACGTTTGTGAGCATGGAAATTCAGGCTCTGTGGGTATCTGGGTACCTTGTTAGAGTCTACTAGGGTGGAAGGCCAAGCTCTCAACTTTGTGGCATGAGTGGTAGGTATGGGGTCACAGTTTTTTTTTTTTTTTTTTTCCCTGTGCTGTTTGGCTAGAGTAGAGTGGTTATTGTCTAAAAGTTTTGTCTTTCTGGGCTGCACCTTTCCTGTCCTTTGGCTACAAATAGCAGGCTTTTGTTGGAGTTTCTGCCTGCACCCACTGGCATTTCCATTTTGCCAGCCTCTGCAGCAAAAAGTCTGAGATATATGAAGCTAAAAGAAAACCACAGAACTCACCTCCATGTCCTTCCTTGGGTCTCAAGGTTCCCAAGCCTGTCTGCCTTTCCTCTCTCCATTTTTCACAGTGTTATGTTCGTTTACAAATAATATCTGGGTCTTTTAGCTGTACTTAGAGCAAAGAATAGGGAAAAGTAGCTGTATTCTACATTCCCAGAAGTGGGAGTTAAGCCCAAATAGTTTTTAAGTACCCAATGTTTTAGAGTTTCCTAAACTATTAAGGCCATATGAATTTATTCCTTGATAGATTACAAGATTAAAAAAATCAGAAATGTAAAAAGTAGTTATGATTCAAGAGGGCCACCTGAAAAATTATTAAAACTGAGTTCTTCCAGGTGATTAGTTATAAAATGTATATATATACTTGATTAATTTTCTGCATGTGAAAAATAAACAATACAACAGAAAAAAGATGACATTTATGATAACAAAAAATAACTAATGGAGTAAACCTAAGAAATAGGAATAAATTTAATGCTATATGGTGGGAAAGATGAATAAACGGAGAGATATACTGATTATGGAACTGGAAAATTCATTATTGTAAAGATGCCAATCTCCTCGAATGAACTAAAACCTCAGCGTAATGATTACAGAAAATTCAGGAACGGGTCTGGAACTTTATCAGCTGCCTTTGCACTAACTATTGAAATGAGCACGTGTTTTTCTCTTTTAAGCTATTATGATGATAAAGAATTATACAGGAAGGTGAATTATTGAGGATTTAAAACTGGAGTGAGCTTCACAGTGCTCTCAAACTGTAATATATATACA